ACAAGCCATATTGTATAACAGATTCACCTAAGGATTTATAGAGCATTAAAGAGGTTTTGTAAGGTATTTTTTGTTTGATTAACGTAAATTTCGCTAATATTCCTCTTAATATATCACAAACACGATTTACATGCTCTTTCCAGTTTAGCCGATCGTCAATTATTAGACCAAGATAGGTGTGCTTACAATTTCTATGGCATCGCAATTACAGGGTGTCGAATTGTTAGTATTTTGTATATGAAGGCAGTGATGTGTGTGCGCTATTAGTTTAGGTATAAAAGAACTTCTGTTGTGGCTTGTACTTATATACATAAGTTTAGTTTTGGCAGCATTGAGTACTAAACCGACGTCGTGTGACCACTTCGTCAGTGTGTCAAACTCTTTTTGAAGTTTCATTAGTACCTCCTGTATACTACGCCTAGCAGCTACTAAACAGGTATCATCTGCAAACTGATAGATCTCACACTGTTTAATTAAATTAGAAAGATTGTTTACGTAGGTGAGAAAGTGTAAAGGTCCAAGAACTGAGCCCTGTGCTGTACCTTCAGTTACCTGGACAGGGAAACTAAGAGCATCACCAACTTTTACTCGATAAGATCTTTCATGGAGATAATTTTCACACCACGCTAGTAATTTTTCTAATTCCTTCATTTAAGCTTTCAATTAATTTGTTGTGTCTTAGCGTGTCAAAAGCTTTGCTATAATCAATGAAAACGACTAAAATGTGCTCTTTAGAGTCAATATGCGTGTACAAACTGTCTGTGAATGCAGAAAGTAGTTGTGAGGTATTCTTTTGAGGTTGCAAACCATATTGTTTGCTAGTTAATATATTATTACTTTTATAATACCTATGGATTTGTGCACGTATATATTTTTCGACTATTTTGTCTATGGTAGGTAATATCGTTATTGGTCTATAATTCTCATCCTCAGTCCTACTACCTTTTTTGTATATTGGTCGAACGATTCCAATTTTTTAGTAGGGGAGGATATTTGCCCGTAATAACGCTTGCATTTATTAATTTAGCAATAACTGTTTTGATTTTTACGCACAGCAGCTTTATATCAATGGCTCTTATCCTGTCTTCCCCAGGGGCTTTGTTACTGCTTATTGATTTAATTATATTTTCCACAGCTTTAGAATCGGCAGGGATAAATCGCATGGTTACATTTGCAGTAGATTCATAGATTGCTTTGTCAAGCAATAATTCCGAACATTGCGGAATTATTTGTTTCACACTATTGTTGAATGTACTAGCAAATTTGTTCGCAATGTCTTTACTAGTGCAGCCATTATTACCAAAATAATTATGAAGTGCATCATCAATTGAAGACTTAATCTTGCCCGTCAGCCTATTTAAAATCTCCCAAAGATTTTTAGAGCTTTGTTTATTTGAAATAATTTCAGATTTTGTATTTTTATTTTTAGATTTGTTAATTAGCTTATTTGCGTAGTTTCTAGCCTTATTATATTGTAGTTTATTTACTGAATTACTAGTGTTTTTTATCCATTTTAAAAATAACTCGTCCCTATACTCACATGCTCTAATAATTTTCTTATTTATCCAGTTATTATTCCTTGTATTATTTGTTTTAATTTTTACAGTGTAAGCCGAATTTCTATAACAATCCATGAAGTTTGTGTATAAAGAATTGTACATATTAATTGGGCATGTCATTTTGTACGTAGACTCCCAATCAATTTTTTCTAATAATGTAAATAGCTTTTGGTTATTAATGCAAGTTTTATATTTTGAGACAGGCTGTGTACGTGCTCCAAGACAAGCCAGTATTATAGTCCGATGATCGGCTAGTGTTGTTCCAACTGCTGCAGTGTATAGGTCTTGTGTGCGTGCAATTCCCGCGCACACTCTCCGAAATGCATTCTATACAATACCTAGAGGCTGGCTACTCTGCGCCTGTGCTAGAGGCTGACAAAGTTGGTTTCAACTAAATCATGGTCAGCAATGAGCCTTTTAGCATGTCTCTGCACTGAGTCAAAATTGGATATATCATAAATGTTTTTATATTTTTTACTACAGTCGCCAAATTACCAGATTCAACAAAAATTTAAGTTTTCGTCATCGGATCTGTTGCAACAAATTAAGGCTGTAACTAAATAAAATATTAAAACATTAAACTAAAATATTAAAACATGACTTATCTAAATTATATATATATATATATATATATATATATATATATATATATATATATATATATATATATATATATATATATATATATATATATATATATATATATAATAAAATTTATATTACAAAATAAAATTATAAAATATTAAACTAAAATATTAAAACATGACTATCTATTTTAAGTTACATCCGACATTGGTCAAGCTCTGAGTTCAAAAATAGATTTTGGCGAAGAACAGGGATCAACTATGATTGCAACAAATTCAAGCAAAGAAAACGAAGATGTGGAAGTGCAGCACACGATTGTTGTATCGACGAAATTAAAAAATAATAATAATAGAAGAGGTCTGCATACTTCCCGAGATGGTAAGAATTTTTCCGATACATTATTAGTTTTTGATTGCTACATATTTAATAACACAGCAGCATTAAGCTATTAAAATAAAATTAAAACCAAGTCAACCAAAAATGCCTCCAATTGTACCTTTTTAATGAAACATGGGTGACATACGAGCGCAAAGCCTATGGTAAGTGGATGCTTTGGCCCATAGACATCTACATTTATCCTCGACTAAGAATCAAAAGGTAAGGCAGATGCGTCGTCACCCCTGAGGACTAAGATGGAATGCCTTCTTTCTCTACATTCATCATACGAAACCTTTGAGTATGTTGGTTGAATACTCAAAGTACGAAACACAGCAAAACTAAGCTATTTTATGCCAGAATTCCGTGAGAGCGCGGTCCTGCCCCGATCGAGGTTCCCCATTCGTGCTACAACCATATAACTAATATAACTACAGCATGGCTCTACCACGTAAATATATATAACTTCTGTGGATTGCACTACACTCATATGTATAATACGGGAGTAGTTTTAAAATTACTTCTTAGGCAATATCCTATGCACTAAGTGATTTGCTATTCAATATTCAAAAGAATAGAAACACATAATATTTACATTCATAAATTCGGCTTATGGTAGCGCATAATGTTCATACAAAATAGGTATCTTACGCCGTTGGATTAAAATATTTGTATTTTTCATTTGTTTCTAAAATTAATATAATTTGAATTGATATCGTCAAGTACGGTAATTATAGTTTACATTCATAAATTCGGCTTATGGTAGCGCATTAAATGTTCATACAAAATACTTATCTTACGCCGTTGGATTAAAATATTTGTATTTTTCATTTGTTTTTAATATGAATATTATTTGAATTGATATCTTCAAGCACGGTAATTATAGTATCCTTTGTATTATAGTCCTTCCAATCTTCAAAATAATCTTCACATAGGCCATGTGGAGCAGTGACCAATGTTCTCAATTACAACAAAGTAAGTATTGTATTAAGTATCGTATTCGAATCTAGGAATGGTAATTCAATAACAAAGTTGACGACGAAGCAAATCACACTTTTTATTAATTATTTATTTATGCTTTATTGGAGATCTCATGAGGTGTAATGTTACTAAGGGAGATTCTATTATTAATATTTGATTCTGCTTCAACTCGTAATAATTCCACTGTTGAAAATAGGCCTCTTTAATGGACCAAAGGATTCTTCTCCAATAGAAGAAAGGGTTAGTGACTGCAGTGTCAGACTTCTTTGCCAGCTTTTCTCTATGTCTAATTATTCCAAATATGTTAATCACGAACAATCTATTGATTCCATTAGTTATCAATCAGGCTCTGTTTGATCTTCGTTATATCTGCTTTATAGCATTTTTCATAGCTACCAGCCTCTTTCCATACGCACGAAAGAGGGGTTGTAAGATTATCTTTTGACGTCACCACACCGCCTTAAGGTTAAAATTTTAAATTTCATTTACAGACGGTGGTCCTGTATCACATACATTTAGTCATGTTAAGAACATAAAAGAAGACGACAGCGGGGAAGTCCCTGTGATGAAAGGTTACAAGGCAGTGGAAACTACAAAAATATTAACGCCCGATACACGTCTTAAATTGCAAGTCATTCCTGTAAACGGTTATACAAGGTACAACACGCCAGACGAATATGATATCTATCCAAATATAGTAACGAATCCAATGCAGTTTAAGCCTTCAAGTTTTTATAACAACATTAATTGGTGGAATCAACATAACACAAGAAGTTTTAACAATTATAATAGAAGAAACGATAGAACCGGTTATCCAAATATTCAACAATCCGGTTTCCATAGAAGTATATCTGATGACAGTGTTAGAGATTTTTATTGTAAAAAATGTAGGGAGCTAAGTGGACCGCAAGATATAAAAGGATGTATACAGCAACGAAGTAATCCTTGGTATAGCGAGAATACAACTCCAAAGATCAAGATAGACGGCAAATTAGTGAAATTAAACTAATCGAGTCATTATTTTGTTCGACATGCCGTGACCGCAACAGTAGGTAAAAACATGTCGGAGATGATATCTAAGTAACCTTGAAGAAATACAGACATTGTTAGTATGTTTAAAAGTTCATTGTCATTTGAAATTTTGAAAACTAAATCACAACTTTACTCCCCTATCTAAATTAACAGGGTTCGATGTATTATACAGACGTATATAAACTTAAATATTGCTTTCCAAAAAATATTATCAAGTTGTGTTCTAAATAATACACAAATTTTTTAACTCCGAGATTTAATATAAAATATTTACAACTAAAAATTTTTTTATAATTTAATTTATACAAAATATGCCTAAAACATCAAAATGAATAAAATAAATACTTTTTGTAAGTATTAAAATTGTGGTTAATCAAAATGGTAAAAACAGAAGGAATTATAATATAAAAACGACTGCTTAAAATTGTTTCAAAAGTACCCAACTAATCCTGGTTATCACATAGTCCTTTAACTATGTACGCTATATTTGGTAACTTTTCCATTGTCGTTGACAATCGTCTCCGCCGCTTTTTGGCTTTGTAATTCCCCATTTTTGTTTATAGATGAGGAAGACGCTGAACTGTGGACACTGTAGAAATGATTGTTCAAGTCGTTTCTTCTATCCGGATTGTGGCTAAATTTCTGTACGTTCGGTGATTGCTGAAAAATTATTCAATTAAATATATGCGTTCAATATACGTAAATGACTGGTTGAAGCGTTGCGGATTTCCGCTAAGAACAAGTATTTGTATGGCCTGTAAATAATGTTGTTCAGTGCAACTTATGTATGTTTGTAAACTGTATCATATCATTATCAAGGAAATTTGTTGGTGCAACTTTTTTTATAGAAAATATAGGTATTATTTAAAACATACAAAGCGGCGACGTTATCCTGTGATATAATTGTGATTTTTATATAACCACGAATGTATGCTTTTTTATGAAAAGATCAGTTAATGTCACGGGTATTGCATTCGATGCATTTTATTTAAAAAAATACCTGTCGTATTGAAGCTCTTCTACGTCTTTCGTCGACTAAAATGCGTGTTTTATAGATCATGTTGTCTTTTCAAATAACTTTCAAAGACTTTTCTTATCGAAATCCTTAAGATTGTAGAAGAAACTTGTAGTTTTCTCTATTTAGTATGCAATATAAACTTGCAGTTTTATAAATTTTATAGCATATTTGTCTTCTATTGTGTTATTAGTTTATATTATTGTGTGTTTTCATTATTTTTACAGAATTATTACTTTTATACTTACCGGATTCGATGGGTTTATTGCAGCTATCTGATGCTTAAATCCGGGTCCGACAGCCCCAAATGCAAAAGCATTGTAGGGCGTATTTTTTCCCGACATATCAAATGGTTTGTAGTTTCCGGGTCCAAAATTATTGAAAGGGTCGTTTGATGGGTACCTAAAGTTGAAAGTCGGAATGTAAGGAAATTCGTTAAAAGCACCGAACGAGTTTTGTGCAGCTTCAAACACTTTTCGTTCTTGGTTTTCAATGTTAGCAATTACATCCCTGTAATACAAAATAAATTTACACACACACACACACACAAAAACAAACACAATTAGATACAAATTAATGAACCAGAGCGAATGAAAGCTTAGAAGGTGAAGAAGATGTTACTAAAAGTTTCGCAAGAAAGTATTAGTCAAATCAAATCTAAATTCTATCTATCTTACTTTGACTACAATCTAACCTTTGTTTCTTTATTAACTGGTTGAGCCGTCGTGGCAACGGTGGAAACCAGCGAAACGATGACATAGGTGGCAATTGTTGCAACGGTTTCAATGGAAACAATGGCCGTGAAAACAGTAACAGTGGAATAAACCTTCTAGATCTATAACTTAAAGTAAAATTTATTTTTCGATTTAATAAGAACTTCTAAAGGCGCAAAACAGAGTTATTTAATTTATATTGATGTTAATGTTCATGTACTAGATATGAATGGCAAAGAAACTTTAAAAGAATCAAAAGTTTTTAAACTGTCTAAAATATCGTCTAAATTTAACTTATAGTGAAGTAAAAACTACCACAATTATTGAAAAATTCAGTTAATTATTCTACAATTTTGTAAAAAAGGCTTTGGCGACAAAATACCAGTTCAAACTGACATATTTCTGAGGTCATTATACCAATCCGTAGGTTGGACCGAAGGATTGCTGTTAATTTCAATGTTTTTGTGCATTTAGTAGTATGTATTAAAATATAATTAATACAATTTTAGAAAAAAATTAATATAAATTAAAAATAATTAATTTACAATTTCGACACAAGCTCTATAGACATATAACATAATGTATTGATTAATCCATTCCTGCAATTAATTTTAACTAATAAATGTCGACTGTGTTAATATGAAAGATAAGACTGACAATTACGTTAACGACATCATAAATACTACTATATAACACGAATCTTTAGTAACGGCCTTTTTTATAGTGTAAGGGTGATAAACGAGCACAAAGTTCACCTGATATAAAGTGGATTTTGTGGCCCATAGACGTCTACAAAAATAAATTTAAAATTTTAAAATTAATTTATTATTTTAAATTCATTTGGAGATATCGGCCTCTCCAATAATGCACTAAATGAAGCTTTATAAAAATATTAATTAGGCATTATTACAGGCAGGACGAAACTTGGAGAAAAGTTAGTATGTTCTCATACACCCTTTTTATTGAATAAAAAAGTAGTTGCAGCGTATATATATATATATATATATATATATATATATATATATATATATATACATCTATATATATATATATATATATATATATATATATATATAAAATCTGCCGATCTTCTCCAGTACGTGTTGGCGGACTGCATTTGTCCTCGAAATATTTTCATCAGACGCGCAGGTTTCCTCATGAACCTTTCCATCACTCTCGGTACGTGGTAAATAAGCACAGTTAATAATTGGTGCCGGAGTGGATCGAACCCGGGTTTTATGCTATGCCGGGAAATTTACGGCGAGCTCTTTTTCTACACCTACCACAGTTGTTTTTATACATAACGATCACAATATAACATAAATAACATTTCCCAATGTCTCACCCACCACCTTAGTATATGAGCATAGATACCTCCACCGAAAGCCAGTAGCTTTGAATATTTATTTTAAAACCTTACGGCCAATATTGCTCAACGGGGTTAACCTCGTTAAATCTTTTAATTTCTGGAGGTTCGAAACCATAGTTGTATTTTGGCTTGTAAAAGCATTCGTACCTATGACCTGCTGGATCTTCGTACGTAAAGGCACCTGCACCATTAGAGCTAAAAGAATCTGTAACAAAAAGTAAATAAATTTATCATAATTTCTGTAGGACATTTTTTATGAAATAACAGCGACATACGAGCAAAGAGCCCACCTAATGGTAAGTGGATGCTATTTAGTCCAAAGACGTCTAAATCTATCCCCTAAAAACAAAATACAGTATGCGTTTCACCTCTGAGGAAAGAGAATGCCTCGTTTCCACTAACAAGGATCCCGGTTCTTTACACTCACCATACGAAACACAACACAGCAAAAACTGGTATTTTGTGAGAGCGTGGTTTGTGAGAGCGTGGAACCCAACGAACACAAATGAGTCGGCTCGACCGGGGGCCGGAGATCCATTTTAATGTAAACGATGCACTCAATCCAAGTCCTTAGAGGTGATAATGCATCTGTATTTGATTTTTATTATTCACTTACCATCAGATGGACTAAGTGTTTGTTTGTAACCCATATTCTACAAAAGAAAAACAGACTCTAGCTTAAACCTGAACCGTCGTTTGATTACCCCGATACCATCCACACCATCTGGATGCTTGGCGGTCCACCACTGTACGTTTCAAGAGGAGTTTTCTTCCGCGTACAACCTCTCTGTGGAATAGTTTACCACCAGCGATTTTTCCGGACCAATACGACCTGGGGACCTTCAAGAAAAGAGCGTACTCCTTTCTAAAGGGCCGGCAACGCACCTGCAATTCCCCTGGTGTTGCGGTTGATCATGGGCGGCGGTAGTCACTTAACATCAGGTGAGCCGCATGCTCGTTTGCCCCCTCTTCTATAATAAAAAAAATCTATATGAAAGCATTTATGAGGCTCATTCAATCCGTCAGACTATATGCGATTTTTTTTTAAATTATTATATATCAATGTAACACATGAGTTTACTACATAAACATTAACTTTACAAAAATATGCAATAAAATATAGATACATATAGTGCCACTAACTTACAATTTTTTTCAGTTGACAGAGTCGCTAGTGGAGAGCTTACTATTAGGTACTACTGCCACTTAAGAAATTTACCAAGAAAAAAAGGTCCGCCACATACATACGGAATCCTGTTTCGGGATTCCGTTTTGGAAGTCCATAATGACAAAAATATAATGACATACATAAAATAATGACCTCTCTCTCTCCTCTACGTATGTGGCCGGCCTAAGTGACTATATATATATATATATATATATATATATATATATATATATATACATATATATATATATATATATATATATATATATATATATATATATATGTGCATATATATCACATATATATAGTCACTTATAACGTAATACTTATATTACTTATTACTATACGTTTCACAATGAAATCAAACAAAGCATTCCTTACAGCACAGAATAAATTATAGCTTACAGCGAAATTTCATTTATAAAATGGCGGCCTTAGTTTCAATTTAGCCCACATGAACAGATAATTTGGTGGCAGTGTATATATACTATGATCATAACTTTTAACAAAAAGTAAATACCGACTTAAAATTTCTAAAAAAGATGTTATTTATTTGCAACCCTCGGGTTTGGATTTTTTCTTCAAATTGATATGAAAAGAATTATTAAAATTGGTGTTTTGTCTGCGAAGATATCACACGAAATTCCTTAAACTATAGTCCAATATGAAACTTTTACTCCTATTTTCAACCCTTGGGGACGGAAATTTTCTTCAAAATTTAATGGAACTACCCTTGAGGTAAAAGCTATTTCATAAAAAAAGAATTGTTATAATCAGTTCACAATCTGGGAATATATCGCGTAACATACATACAAAAAAAACATACAATTGAATTGACAACCTCATCCTTTTCGAAGTCGGTTAAAAATGTATTATTTTTCTATCACGTGTAAATCAAATAAACGTGACAGAACAGTTAATGTTCAAAATCATTAAGCGGTAAATAAAATCTCGCACGTTTTTAGTTCATCACGTTAAGTAAGAACGGGAAATACCAAATCACGTAACCACAGCAATTATAATCAAATTAGCTTGAAATGGTCTGTTGATATCATGTAATTTTAAAAAAGTGAGAAAAAATAAGTTTTTAACCGAGTCCAAAAAAGGATTTGGTTCTATAATTCGACGCGTATGTTTTTCACCGATTTCTCGAAAATTGCTCGAAAAATTTACATGATTTGTTTTGTACGTCAGGGTATCAGCACAATTCAGGGTAACAAGTAGGGGTAGTAGATGTAAAATGAGACGGTATTATATTTGTTACCTTGAAGTTGTGGTAATAAACCATAAGGAAAAAAATCTAACTTTTTCATTTCAAAAATTCAAATTATTAAAATAATTTCCTCACAATAACTTCTGAAGTCGCGTTAAGTCTTAAAAACACTAAATCTTAGCACCGACTTCAGAATATAGGTTATATGGAATTTTTTGGTTTTTTATTAAGAGTTTAATATTTTTCTATATTGTCCTTTCGCCTGCTTAAGTCAAACTAAAATTTTTTTTCAAACATATTTAAAACTCAATTATATATGTATAGTGAATATGAAATACATGGGGATAAGTGAATAGGTTATCCACTTGCCACATGTCATCTCCACCTACCTACCTACCTACCTACCTACTTTACATCTGCCACCTACACATCCTCTTTGTATTAATTCAACTAGTTACAAAAATAGTAATAACATTATGGGCGTTTACTACGTTTCTATTTAATAAATAAAACCGAAAATTAGTTTTTTGTTCCTAATAAAAACTTTGCTTTTATAGTTTGTCGGGTTTTGCAGGCGCAGTGACGGTAATATTCAAATGCGGAAGCTATTAAATTGTAATATTATACTTTCTCGTATACGCTTATCTTAAATCTTTCATTATAAGACACATTAAATTTTAAATGGGAACTTTAATCACAAAACGAACACAATAACTGGAACCTTTTGATCGTATATGTTAACATAGATTATAGCCAACGTCATTAATAAGTATTGTAAATAAAAAAACCTTAATTACATTTATCAAATTATTAACCAAACGAAATACCTGTTATGTTCAACGGAGCGATGCAAACTGTAATGGAAACAAAAGTACACAATAACCATTATTGACGCAGGCTATGACTAATGTTGTATTTACGTTTTCGTATTATATTAAAAATACTTCTAGAAAAATCCATACAATCTATAGCATCCAGATTGTTCGTTTTCATATTCACAGTAGGTATATATAATTTTACTTATATCGAGTTCTATAACTTTTTGTTTTAGAACTCGATGATTCAAATGTTTTTTTTTGTCTGCTATAATGTTTCGTTTACTGTTTAGTATACCTACATCTGGTATTTGTTTGCCCATCTTTGTATATATAAAACTAGCTGGTACCCGGCGCGTTGCTGTCGCAGAAGGAATAATTGTGGAAATATAATTTTAAATTTGTAAAAGTTTTATTATTTAATTGGAATTGATTTTGAAGATGATATATGACTTTCAATAAAATTTGTAGTACGATACGCGCTACCTACTATAAGTTAATTGTACTATGCCTATAACCTTCGCGCAAGTGCAAGCAATAACTTGACAAATTTGAAAACTGATGAACGGTAGGGCAGCACATAAAATACGAATAAACAGACATTAATGTTTATATATTAGATTTCAGTGAGAGTGTGTTCGTAATTTTCTTCTTCTCCGAAACGTTTAATCGATTTTGATTTAAATTTTATGGGGCATTTATGGGGTCACCTGGATGGTTCTGAGCTATGTTAGAATATAGTTTGGCATTGTAGTCGAGATCCTGCAATCGCACTAACACAATGATATGAAGTCATCAACTGACTTAGGAAACCAAGCTGACAATAACCCAAAGAATCAATAACCGATGGGCAAGAACGTTATCGATTTATATTCGTGCTAATAAAACGTTAGCGATTATATCACATCCTCCTTACAACAGGTGAGATTCAAGCCTAGCAGGCGGACTTTACTCTTGAAGAAAAAGAATTAAAGAGAAAAACACGCACAAAGACGTTTATTACAATACAGCGCACTGGACCCAACACAATTGAATAAATTCAAAAGTTTCCAATATTGTTCCAAATTTTAACGTGTATTCTGTTCCTTATTAATTGAATTCTTAATTGTAAAGTAAAGTAAAGTAAAGTTACAGCCTATATACGTCCCACTGCTGGGCACAGGCCTCCCCTCATTTCTGAGAGGGTTTTAGGGCAGGGAAGTGTCCGCCGCGCTGCCCCAATGCGTGTTGGCGAACTTCACATGTCTTCGAAATAATTTTTTTCTTATTCCTCAGACATGCAGGTCTCCTCACGATGTTTTCCTTCACCGCCGAGCACGTGGTAAATCAGCACTTAAAATTGCAATTAACAATTTCATTGGTGCCGGCGGGGATCGAACCCGGGTTACTCGCGTTCTGTTATATTTACAGCGAGCGTTAACCATCTGAGCTACCACGGCTCTGTGGCATCTCAACTCTTAATTGATTTTAACGATATTCAAAAATGTCATTAAAGCCGTAAAAACAAATAGTACATTAAAACAAAGTTCTATTATTAAGCAGAGGCAAAGAATATAAAGTTAAAATATTCATTTTCTTGTTATAATCTTTGCTTACACGAAAACACTAGACAATCCCTATTCTGATTCGCTGGGTGCGATGTCGCAATACCAGCTTGTCATATTGAGTAGGTGTCTTACGGCCATTGTACTGCCATAGACCATAATTAATTATCTTTTGTATTGCTTGTGTATTGGACATTGTATTGTACGCCTATTTGTACTCACACGTAACGTGCGCTTATTAAAGTCTACCTTTTTTATTTCTTGAGTTGCAAAATCTTTTTAGGTGTTAGGACTTCTTTTTTGTCTGACAGTCCGTCAGCGTGGGCACCGCCCTTTTTAAACTATTTGTGCCGACAAATACCAGTTCTTGCACTGTTGTGTTCTAATATTGGGTGTGCAGAGCCAGTATACATGCTGTGAGGCATTTCATCTTAGTTCTTAAAGGTGACCTTATAGCCTTCCTAG